CCCCAAAACCCCAAAACCCCAGTTACTTTATTATTAAGACTCAAAGTATGAAATTAAGATTCCAAATATTTTTAAAATATATATGTCTGCATTTGAATTATTATAAGGAGTTAAGTAGAGTTTATCAGCAGTGGTAAGGGTAAAGATCTAAAGTAAGTCTTTTATTGTAGTGCTGTTCCTCTTCATCTTGCGAAAGTACATCGTAATTTTAACTATCAATATCTTTATCAATGAAGCTTCCAGCGATAGAATCCTGAACCAGTTTTCTTGAAATGCTCCAGTCAGTTGAATACCACGAATAAAGATATTTCCATATGGCTTGAGGAACTGCTATGTAATCAAAAACTTCAATTAGATTCGGTCTTAGTGCCATACTCTGATTGTTTAATAGTAAATTACTATATTTGTCATTAAATATAATGAAACTTACAAGTTTTTTATCATGCCAGGTCTTACGTAAGATTAATCAAGGTCCCTTCTTGAATTATTAATTCTTTCAGTATCTTCGAATTAACTATCTTGCTCATTTATCTAGAGTTCTGATGAAAGAGTGCTGATTTTAAAATTTGTGTAATCACACCACAGTTACCACCACTTCGAACATATCAGATATTTCCTCTCACTTCTTAGCCCTACTGATGCCCTAAGTAAGTCTAAAGGGCTGTTTACATCAGGTCTCTTACAATGACTTTTGAAATTTATATAGAGCTTATTTAGCTCCTCTACGACTATTTAATTCTATAGCTAAGAGGAGACTGAATGTCTACAGTACCTGTTCAAGCATTTATCACTATATTCTTGGCAAAAGCACTCATTTTTAGAACTAAAAAACTATGGAGCAGTCAAGTATTTTTCCTTGACAAAACCTTCAGCAGCTATGACTCTGTCTCTACAATCTTTATCATTAATTTTTTCTCTAATAATCTCATCCATAGAATTAAACTCTCTTCTTGTGGGACTCATGACTTAAGTCATTGTAGCTTTATATTTAGGTAGGGAAATCTGGGACCTATTCTAAGTTATCACTATGGTAGATGAATTCTCACAATCTAGAAGGTATTCTGTTTACTTGTTATTATTATTAGCAAGCAAGAGTTCGTGTTCTTCCTCCACATTTTCACTCAGCATATTGACATCTTTTGAAAACGAGCTTTATGTTTAAGGATTGTAATTTTAACAGGGTTCGTACTTGGTCTCTAATCTATTTCTTGATTGAGACAAAGACTATGATTTCACAGATAAGTTATTATTGTACTCGAAGAGGTTTTTCTTTCCTCCAGTACCAATATTTTTGGCTGTTTACTAGTTTAGTGTTTAATTTACACTTGGAGTTTTGACCTCTTTCAAGACTTCTCTTTCTTAACTTCCATCTGAAATGTTTATCACTAAATTCTTTTATTTATTTAGCGTCCCGCATTTATTATTTACTAAGCCGAGAGAACTTTTATCCATGCCAAACATTTTTGTATGTGAAGATAACTTATCAATTATCTTCCCTCCTCTGTCAGTTTTTAATTACATAGCAGAACCGCCTAGGATAGATTTCTCAGAAGAAACTACTGATGTCTGGAAATAGATTTTATCATCTTTATTTTAAAAGGTACGCAAATTCAAAATATTACTATTTTGAATGTTAAAACTGATGTTATTGGTGTTTGGAGATGCATTCCTCGTAAATTTAAAAGACTTATTTTTGCTAAGAAAAGGAGTAAAGACCTTTTCAAACCTCTAACTCATTTCTGTTTTCTTTGGATCAACTTGCTCCCTTAATGTTACATTTTTATCTCTGCACTTGCATGATTCCATCATCTTATACAACTACTAAATCTAATCTTTCAAATCTTATGTAATTTGTTCCTGAGTGCCCCTAAATGAATCAAAGTCGTTTTAAAGTTATTAGTAATTCTCTTCAAGCTTTAAGATTTTAGTTCTATACTTAACCCCTTCAGTTTGCTTTTCCTTAGATTTAGTCATGTTCTTATTCTTTAGCTTTTAATTCATTTGGTACTGTTGCTGATTCTACTGCTGCTAATGCTGATACATAGATGATATTCTGTTGTTTACCTCTAGTTTTTAATGAGTATAGGCTGATCTGTTGCTTTTGATAATGTTCATATCCTCTTGAAACACAAAACTCTTCTTGAATTTATTCTTGGTAGACTGAAGTATATTGCTCTCATTAATATTTTCATTGGCTACATATTCATAATTAATCTGGTCGCTCTAATACTCTTAGTCTGGGCTGTCAATTCTATAAGGTAATTGGCTTTTTTCAGCTTTAAGAGGTAGGTGCTCTTTCTTTGATTAGAGAACCGTGATTTCTTTGGAAGGTTAAAGTGATACTCTAGAGTTGACATGCTTTGCTTCATAGTCGAATCTTAGGGAAATTCCCTTATCTTGATATGATCGTTGAGAATATAATTAATCAGTCATTTTGAATTAATAAATATTATTAAATAATTGCTTGATTCGTAAATTCAAATTAAATATAGATTAAACGAATACTTAGAGGTGTTCGTTTATAAACTCAATATAGCAAACAAATAAACTATCAAATGATAATCAATATATTCTCTTTCACATTTACATTAAATACTTATGCCTCTTTCAATAAAGCTGCGCTGCATCAATGAGTTAGTTTCAATGATGAGAATACACATTCTTACTTTTTTGCAGAAGCTATTATTGACCTTTCTATGAAAGCCCGATCTTGTTATTTCCAATAATCATCATGGGATTATAGTAGAGACTGGAATCTTGTATAGTAATATTTTACCTGTGATTCTTAGTAGAACTTTTATTTTGATTAGTAAAAGCTTTATTATATGACTTTATGTTAGAATGATTCTGTTACTAGTTTAGCTGTCTCTGGATCAAATCGCTTAGACTACTTTCTGGCTAGTAAGAGTTCTACTACTTTATATCATCTACATGATAGGATTTCTAAATTATTGGAGTTCTAGTGATCACAGTTTTGTTTCTGCCAAAGTTAGAAGTATTTTCCTAGGCTTGGTTGGTAATGCTGACATCTAATATATCATCTGGGATTAGATCAATAAGCAAGTTCATCATTTTGGATTTGTTTGTTATGAAATTACTTCCAATCATTGGCTCCTAAGTTCTATTACTTTGATTAGTAGGTATTCTGCTATTAGCTATTTTCTATTAATCTTATTAGTTCCTTAGGTTGCTTTCTCTCCACTATTAGAATTTCTGCTGGTATCTTGGATCATTTTGGAAATGGTGAGGCTGGTTAATGAATTAACTGTTATTTCCAATGTTCAAAGAGTCAAATAAAACATTAGATCTTTGCAAAAAACTTTGTTAATAATACTGGAACTGTTGCTACTACTAAGACCTATCAATGACTTGATTGTTCTAATTTCTGTAAGACTTTAGAGAAGATTCTCTCTTTCTTGGACCATTAATGAGTTGAGACCAATCTTCTGCAGGAGCAGCTCTTCTGTTTGTTACATCCTAAGCCATTGACTCCACCTAAGGTAGGTTGATATTTGAATTCGACTAGTTATGATTTGTCAAAATACTTCTAAGCTTCATCATCGATGTGGTTGTTCTATCAAATGCATTTTAAGTCACTTCAATAGTACTAGTTTCTAAGATATCCTAAAGTGTATTGTTTCCAAAGCCTAGGCCATCAGCTTGCTGCTAATGAATATAAGATGAGCTTGAATCCAGCGCACTTTGGTTTAGTTTTTATTCTTACTTAGGATTATCATTTTAAGTATAGGAATACTTTCTATCCTTAGTTTAGAATTCTTCACCTTTAGAGGAATCTCTCAGAAGTCTCATATTAAATGAGAATTTATCTGCAACAGCCTTTGTTTTTCTCTTCTGATTTAAAGATTATTAAGTTGGAATACTATCTTCATATTTTATAGGTGTCTAAGACTTAGGGTCTGAAGAAGTTTGTCTCGATCTTTATTATGGGGAAATATCCAAAAATTAGCCACCAAGATTATTGCCCAATAATGGTGGACTGGGAGAGCTCTCTTCATCTTTGGACTGTTATCTTTCAACGTTTGACTTTATTTATCCCTAACCCATTTTACTACTTCTTTTTTTCATGCTTGCTACACTCTTTTTTATTTGAACTACATTATCTGTAGTGATTGATCTGCTTGGCTTGGTTTTCTTATTCGGGCTTTGTCTGTTTTGATTAGCTTGGAATAAGCTTCGTTTTTAATCTGGTAGGTATTTTATTATATCAGCCTATTTGATCTCGAAACTATATCTTTTAAATGGTACTTCTTCGATTTCTTCTTATTACTAATTTGACTCATCACTGGCTGTCGTCTCTTTAGAAGCCATTGATTAATCTTCGATTATGACTTGCTTACATTTTTCTAAGTATTAACTAAGATCATCAGATAAGCTCTATTGATGGCCGGCACTCTTTATATCCCTAACTTTTTAAACAGACATGAAGAATGCTAGATTTATAGCGAATCTTAAGTTTGTTTCATTCTAAAATCTTCTTATTTGCTCAGATTAGGTAAGTGGAATGCTTGAATTGAAATCTCTTGTAATCCAAGGATGTCTCAAAGCTTAATCACAAGTATACCTTTCAATTGGCATTGGGTTGCATAGTTTTAAAAACAAGTCTTTGGCCAATGGAGAAAAATTTTCTTCTGGCAAGTCCCATCATGGGTTTTTAAGTTTTTCAAGAAAGCTTCTCTCATCATCTGTTTCGTGGTCATAAAGTGGATGATGCCCGCTAATTAATATGTACATGATGATACCAGTAGCCCACATATCAATCCTCTATAGAATATTATTAAATATCGAATGGTATACTTTGCCATAAGAATAATTTTTAGTTTACTCAGGTGCCATAAAAAGCAATGTACCCATTCTTTCATCTAGTGAGTATGCTGTATTGATTCTGAATGATGCACTTAACCCAAAGTCAGCTAATTTTATACTAGTAAAATCATTCTCATCATTAATTAATATATTTTCCGGCTTCAGGTCCCTGTGAACATAGTTCTTAGAGTGCACATGCTCCACTGCTGACAGTAGATTTTTAATTATTTTGCTCGCTTATTCCTCGTTGAAGTATCCTCTCTTTTCTATAAGTTGCTTCAAGCTGCCCCCTTTGATGATTTCCATCTCAATAAATATAAAATCATGAGTTTCAAAAATCTAAAAAATATTGGTAAATTTGTATGTCCTTCAAAACTTGTAGGTAAAATATTCAATAGTTGTTAGAGTTGTATAATTACATCATAAAACTTGACGATATTGGGATGATTCATTTCCTTTAATATAATGGCTTCATTTTTCAAAATTTGATAACCACTTTCTCCCAGATCTTTCTTATTGATTATCTAAATGTTTTACAATAATAATATTATTTTACCTTTACAGCAGCAAATCCATTATTCTCAGTGGAAATAGCAGGGCTGTTATCTTATAATCTGAATAATTTTTCTACTTTGACAACAATTCCGAAAGCACCATAGCCAATAACTCTTTAGTACTTGTATTGATCTCTAAACCTTATTGGCAACTAATCTGGAGTAGGATTCTAGATAAGCATGTCGCTTATATTGGGGACACCTAATCATTCACGCAGTATGTCGCGGTTCGATTTTCTCCCTAATTTGTGTGAACTGTATGCCCCCAATTCTTGCTACTCATCAGGGTCTGTTTTTATTATAATTTAGGGCACATCATTTTGATATTCCATGTTAAAAGTTGATACATTTAACGCTGAATTTGATAGATCATCATGAATTTCCATTCTACAGAGTATAATTATTCTGCTAATATTTAATTTAATATCTCATGAAGCATATCACATCATAATGTTAAATGATTCTTGTAGGGGTTTTGGGGTTTTGGGGTTTTGGGG